CCATGAAATAATTAAAATTCAAACCAAGGAATAAAGGTTTAAAGAGAAAAACTAATTCTACATTTGTATAACGAAAACCACACCTAGTTTTGTTATACAAAATAGCTAAATAAATTCCTAGTATTTATATAAGTATGTTGTGGGCCTCATATCAAAACTCTAATGGATTTGGTGCACCAATTTGGAATCCAAATTTAAAAATCAAAATTGAATTCAAATAAAGAAGAAGGAAAATAAAACAAAAAAAGAAAAAGGGAAGAAGAAGGCCTCGCAGGCTTGGCCTGCTCGGCCCGCGCCAGCCAGCCAGCCCAACCGGCCTGCCAACGCCCCTTTTCCCGTCTTCCCAGCACACGTGCCCGGCCCGCCAGCCGGCCCAGCACGCCGCGCGCCCTCCGCTCGCCTGCTGCCGCTGCCACACAGGCCCCGCATGTCAGCCCTCCTGTTCATCTTCTCCACGCCACGCCCCCGACCGCTCACGCCGATTCCCCTCTCCGATCGAGCCCCGACAGCACTGGCAGGGGCGGGCCAGGGGGTCACGCCCGGGGCATGCCCCTGTCTCCTTGGCGCCGCGCCCACGCAACCTCGCGCCACCGTAGGATGCCTCGCCCGTCTCTCCACCGATCGATCACCGTCCGCCATGGAAGCTTGGTGCTCAGCTATAAAGCTCGGCCCTCGGTTGCCCTAGCGCTCCTCCATCGCCCCGCCGCCACTTGTGGCCATCCACCAGACCACCCAGCACGAGGGCCGAGGGGAGGAGAAGAACAAAGAAGGCGGAGCCGCTGCCGGAAGGAAGACCGGGAGATCACCGGAGCTGGAGCGGGCGACACTACACGGCACGGCTTCCGGAGCTACATGGCCTCGACTATTCACTGCACCGCTATCCTCTCGCCCTCAAACCGACGGTGAGTCGTATGCCGCTGAGACCCCTCCTAAGCCCCATTGACACGAGCACGCACGGGCGCACACCGTAGACACACGCACGGCCGTGGCGAAGCCACCGCGGTCGCATCACCGCAGTAGAAGTGACGCCACCGCCTTGGCTGGCTCCTTCTCATCGCGGAAGACGCCCCGCTCGTGATCAGTGAAGACGTAGGTCTCTGGAGGACCCCGGAGGCCACACCGTGCCACGGTCGGAGCACCGTCGCCACCACATTGACTCCACCGTGGGCAAGTCCGCTTGGGGCGCCTGGCGTCTCCTTGACTCGCCCGTCCTGTTCGCTGGAGCCACGGGTAACTCACGCGCACGCCGTGACCACCTCGTTGGAGCCCCGTAGTGCACCCGTGCGCCTCGCTGTCGTCACCATGTCGCCGTGGCCGCCGGGAAGTCCCTACCGGCCACCTGGAAACCGGAAGTCCCGCCTTGAGCTCTGGACGCCCTTGCCGCGTCCACACGGATCCGTAGGAGCCTACACACCCCACTGTGACGCCCCTCCGAGGCCATAGCCTCCACACCGACACCGCCGACGTGATCGGAAGGCCGCCGCCGTGGCCAAAGCCACCGGAGGCCCTAGAGGACCCCTCGACCTGCCCAACATGCCCGCTGGAGCATTGTGACGCCCACGCACACCACAGAACCGGCCAATGCCGCTGCACCCGCGCCATTCCCGCACGCCGATTGTGCTCGAGCCGCCGTTCGCCATGACCAGTGACTTAGGAAGCACCATCCGTCACCCTGACCCCACCGTTGCAGTCGCCATGGCGCGGGGAGGCTTTTCCCCACCTCAATTGGATGCCTGAGCCGTTGCGGGAGCTCACCGGTGAGCACGTTGCCGGCGGGAGCGCGCCGTGGAAAAAATAGAGGAGAAGGGGCAAGTTGAGCAGCGCAGCCCTGCACCCGGTGCACATGAGCCGAGCCGAGGGGAAATGACGATGGACTCGGTCCACCATGGACCCTGCCTTAGGTCCATGGACCGTGAACTTGGGTCCACCGTGAGCCGCGCTCACGCCCATAGCTAGGAAACGAAGCCCAGTAAGAGCCCAACTGCGCCACGTGGCAGCGCCACAGCACGCCACGTGTCCAGGTCAGCCCGGCCCAGACCGGTCCAAATCTAGCCCTGTCCAGGCCCAGTTTGAACACGGCCCGTATTGACCGTTGATCGGTCAACGTTGACCGTTGACCTAGCCCCACATGTCAGTGGTACAGACACTCTGGACCCACACGTCAGATGCTGACGTCATGATGACATCACGCGAGACCCACACGTCAGAAGCCAGCGCAGCCGGGGTGACGTCATGCTGACGTCACGGTGATGTCAGCTGCTGACGTCAGCAGCCAGGCCCCACATGTCAGTGACCCTGACCGATGACCATTGACCGTTGACCGTTGACCCACCGTTGACTGACGTTGACTTTGACCGGACCCACCTGTTAGTGACCTAATAGCCTCTGGCCCCACCTGTCGGAACTAACGACGTTGATGACGTCATGCTGACGTTAGCTGGACCCCACCTGTCAGCTCGGAACCGAGACAATGACGTCACTGACGTCAGCATGCAACGTGGACCAGTCACAGCGTGACACGTGTCAGCCCAGGATTAATTCAGCCTTTTTCATTTTCAAAAATGGTTTAATCTTCAGAAATTCATAACTAAATCATACGACCTCAGAAAAATACGAAACCAGGACCAAAATTCATCTAAAATCAAGCTCTACGCAATGAACCCATGTTTGAGTGCATTTGGCTCTTTTGAATTTTCATTGCTTCTTGTGCTATTCTATAGACGTCGCTAACGCGACTATAACGCGATCGTTTGCAGACTCGGAGGAGAACCGGACGGACGAGGATCGTGAGTACCGTGAGGAGTACGGAGACAACTACACTAAAGGTGCCACATCCCACCCAATCTCGTAGCACCTATTACGCATGGCTAAAATAGAAATGCTAGTGCTTTACTTCATTGTTATAATCACACTATGATGGGACTTGCATGGTAGTATGCTTTCTTGATGGCGTTTGCCTTGACGCAACCTTACCCCTGCTCACCCTACTGTTAGGCTAGTACACGCTTGCTACTATATTTCATTGCGTATTACTTCTACTACGCTTGCACTACATGGTGCGTGGTGGAGAACTAGAGTTATCTGGACTATGGAGAGAGTGCTGCGTGTGTGACTTGGGTGCGTGGAGGGTGAGGGTTGTGTCGACCAAGTTAGAGTATACGACGAGCCTGGGGCAAGTCTTGCCGTGGGGTGCTACCTGGGCACCCCAGGAATGGATACCTGTGGTGGGTAAAAGGTACATGAGGTGGCCCTGGGTGTGATCCTATGATGGGAGGAGCCCAGGGTGGAGGTGTTGTGGTGGCACGGTAATGGAAACCCTGATGAAGACATTCTGGCTTGGTCATCCCTAAGGACTTACTAGTACTCAGATTCACCGGGAAGCCTTACATACCACTCGCCGCCTATATGATGCGGGACTACGGACTACTTGGTAGGATATTGCCACTCTTGCTAGGTTGATAGCGAGACAATGTGAGAGGGGAGGTACGGGTGCGGAGGATTTCCCCACACCCTTCCGAGACTTCATGGAGACCTTGTGGACCCGGCTCATGACTCACAAGCCACCACCCTGCAGACTAGACTTGGGGTGTACCAGGCTGAATGGTAGAGTGGCATTATCCTAGGCTAGCAAGCGGCGAAATCAGCCCAGATTGACGACGGTCAACGAGGAAGGCGGATCTTGTGGTTATGTAAAATCAGAGAGTGTATGGTTGATCGATCGATACATATGCCGACTTGTCGGCTATGGACCTTTCCTGGGTTTCGCTTAAACTAGATAGTGAGATGAGTCCTTCTCTTCTTCCCCCGGGAGTGAGTGTTCGGACGTAGCCAGGGGCTACGGGCCTTGAGACAGTGCTGAGAAGGAGTTGGCCTGTCGACTGAGCGATGGTATATGTGTGGTATGGTGATGGTGGGGAGATGGTGGTATATCGATCCCAGGATTGAAACCTGGCTCTGGAATGGGAATGGGGTGGAATGGGTGTGGGAGTGGTGTTAAAACTTGACCAACTGCTATTATGTACTTGATATGCTAAATACATAGGAAACCCCAGCCTTATAGGTTCCTTTTGATTATATCCAACTTACATCCAATTTCCACAAAGCAATGCTCATAGGGTTGGGAGTGGCTAGTACAAATCGTACTGATAAATTTTGGACACAGGTTCTGCTGAGGAGTATAGCTCTGAGGAGTTGGACGGTTGAGGGGTTCGTTCCTACGCTCGAGTTTGGCGATCTTATCTTCAAGCTGTTCTGAATGAATGCTACTTTTGATTCCGCCAATGCGGTGATGTAATAAATTTATGTAATTCCGCACTATTTGTACTATGATATTATCGTTATAAGGATGTGATATTCGACTGGAATTTGGGTAATATGATCTACAACGGTCTTATTACACTTTGACACTGTGGATTTCCCTTCGCGGAAAGCGGAGTCGTTTCAACAGCCCCGCCGGATCCGCTCGCCGGAGTTGGGGAGGCCGCCGGAGGGAGAGAGGGAGGAGCCGCGGCGGCGCGGGCGCGGCTTGGGGAGAGGGAGAGCGGCTTGGGGAGAGAGGGAGCGGAGCGCGTCGCCTGAAGCAGTCGATCGTTTTCAGTCACCTGGATTATAGGAAGCGTGTTGTATTATATTCGACCATTTAATTGTTTCAAGATTATTGGTAGGCTTTTAGGAAAAGACAAAATAAAATTGCATGCCTTGAGGACGGTGGCAGCGCTATCCAGTCCGTAGTAGTTGCAGAGCTGAAACTCGCTTTCCATCCTCTTGTCGATCGTCATGAGGAACACCGAGGGGTCACTGTCATCCCAGCTCGTACTCTCTGAACCATATAATCTGCAGTCAACGCATCCGCCGTACCTGTGGCCTAGTATACCATGCCATGCGTAGAGCGTGAACGAACAATTATGACATGAACGGCCCAGAAGGCCAGAAATCAGCATAGGTGAATTGAAAACGATTGACCCAGTAGAGCAGCTGTAAGAATCTTCCGTTGGGCGCCTTTATCCGGACTTTGCTTCCGTCGGCATTGGCAATGATCTCGAAGTCGTGGGCGTTTCGTTTCTGGGGTCGGTCTCGGCGGCGACCACGGTCCTGCCGTCCTTGGCGATGCCGACGAACTGGCCACCGCCGCCCAAGACACGGAGCCTGAACTTGATGGAGTCAGTGGCGCCTGGCCGTCGCCAGATCTGGCAGCAGCATGCAGGTCTTGAAAGGCACTGAGCCATTGATGCAAGCGTAAGAGAGAAAATTGGGAGGATATGTATACGGCGCCAGCCTCACCTTGAAAGTTTCCCACGACGAAGCCTCGGTCTGTTTTCCGACGACGACCGCGCCGCCGCCGCCGCCCGTGGCGCTCCAGTAGGCGTTCTTTCTCGACGACTTGAGGAAGATCTGCGTGCCATCCTGCGGGCAGACACACGTGTGTATAACTGTAACTCCATTATATATGCAGGCCGGTGACATATATGTATGTATATACATGCATGCAGCACACAGCACACACCAGGAGCACGTTGTTTGGTATGTCGCCAAACGGAGAAGGTTTAATCCAGCCTTCGACCACGAGCCACCCTCCAAGATTGACGGCCCTGATGGGCGGCGTTGTGGGAGCAGCAGCAACGCAGGTGTTCATCCCTGCACACCACCAGCACGCCACGGCGATCGCGGCGGCGACAAGCAACGGCAGGCACCGCCGGCGTGGCGCCCGTGCCACCGCGCCCATGCACCCCATGTGCATGCCGTCCATTGCCACGGCGCGGCTTCACTTACACCCGGCTTGCTTGGGATGGATAGCTCATATGTATTACACGTTGTAGGCGAGAAGACCCGGCGGCGAAGACCCATAGTCAAGTAAGTCAAGTCAATGCATGCAACTAGTACTATACGCACGCCATGCCGCAAGTCGCCAACAACCCTATGCATACGGGAGAGCTAGCTAGTAGGACCAGTACATACTGTTCCGTTCGTGTCATCTATATGCATGATTACTGCTGCGTGCATCGCGTACACGGCAAGCTCATATGGCACGCATCGATGGCACTAGCTAGTAGACATGGGACGGCGAGAGGACTGGACATAAGAGGCTAGTGTTGATGAGACCACGCACGGGAAAACCACACCTTAGCGCCAAGCCGCTAATGCAAAATGATCAGACGTCTAAAGGATGTAGGCATGCACGGTGGCATGTAACTCGTATCTTTGCCAGCTATGATGGTATTATTGGCGTGTTTGGATTACGACCAGCCACAGCCAGAGAGAAAAAAAAATCAGTGGAAATGGTCCTTATCGGATAACCATGGTCACCTAGCACGAATTCACGACAAATGAACATGTGCAATCATCTAATGCATGGAGCTGCTAGTCTGCTACATAGATTTAGATGTAATAGTTGGAAAGAAAAATACAACTCAGACGTTAGATGAATTCACGACAAATGAACATGTGCAATCATTTAATGCATAGAGTTGCTACGTAGATTTACGAGTAACCAGAAGATATCCACGCATTGCGGCGGGAATTACGAAGAATTTAGAATGAAACTAAGTTGAGATGACGTGGATAGCTTGTAAAATATTAGAAGTTAGTAGAACTACGAAAATACCCCGTGCGTTGCTGCGGGGATTCTAGATAATTTAAAAAAAATTAGATTATTTATATTTATAGTTATATGAATGAAATTATCTTAAATTAATTTTGGTGAATGGTTTGACACATCGATGTGTACAGCTAAATACATGTTAGTGGATGAAGAGATAACTATCATAATTACATGTGCTAACTGGCTATAATTGCAAGTTCCAGTGGATTGTTGATGTGGATAGCTTGCATGTTGAGAGAAATCTCTAGTAGGGTTTGGCTTTATAATAGTATAATTGCAAGTTCTAGTGGATCGTTGACGTGGATAACTTGCATGTTGAGAGAAATCTCTAGTGGGGTTTAGCTTTATAAAAGTATATGATAATATGTCTATTAGCGAGAGATGATGTGGATAGTTAGTGAGAAATAAAATGGATGACTTACGTGTTGAGATTAACTTATAGTAGGGATTAATTTTCTAAAAGATAGACAGTTCAAAAGAAAAATACAGCTCTCTTAGACGTTAGATGATTGCCTATGCACAGTCACATAGCTGCATCATGAGAACCGTCCCCGAGCTTGAAATTGGGGACCTGGGGGGGTGAGCGCAGCGCCTCATATGCCTAGGAGGCCGTGATCATCCAAGTCCCAACAGCCCCAAATGCATTTTACGGATTTCCCTCTCTTCCTCTTCGAGTCTTCATCGTGCCCCATGGCAGCTTCCGTCTTCCACTGTTATTTTCGCTCTGGTACTCAAAACCTCGATCACTGCGACATGCTATGCTCCAAAAGCTCCCGAGTAGGGTTCAGGCCATACGTCAAGGTAAAAAAACAAAAAAAACAAAACATGTTTCATGTTTACAGATGTATCAAATCAGATCTTAAGTAGATTCGCTTCTGAAAACGAACCCAAGGCACACCATCACCGTCAGTCAACCACACATATAAGATGCTTATCATGAATCAACCTTCAACATTAAGTGTGCAGTGGACAACATGCCATGTTTACAATCACAGCGTCAAACCCCTCAGGTAAATTCATAAGAGGCCTTTGAATCACCGGTTTATTCGAGTTCAACAGGCATTCCTTATATAACATGATTGAGCGAAAAGAAAGAGAATCAAAAGATACTACATGAAGCATTCCAGAGTATGCTCGTAACACTTCACCCAGCATTATCGCTAAGCACAAGTTTTCACAAAAAAAAGGCAGAAGCAAGGTGCCCGCACTTCATGCTAGTTGGAAGGTCCTTCAGTATTCCTTCTTGCCAAAGTTTTTGCACCACAGTTGAGATGGGATTGGCCGGACTGGGTGATGCGGGCGTTGCTGCATAAAAGTATCATATTACATTTGTTAGCACTGTGATTTCCACAATCTATTTTAAAACAAAACAATGAACACATCAAGTCAGTATGCCTGTCTCTTAGCGACATGGTTCCAGCCTGAACAAACAAGGCCAAGCTCTGGAACCTGAACCATATAGCACAAACAGCAGTTCCTTATTGTATTATATACGTAGATGATTTCAGTCAAGCAGATATTCAGTTTAGCATGTATTCATAGCCCACTTTACATAAAAACTAATAATATGAAATTTTCAGATTGTTCTAAATTGTGAACACAATACATTTCTCGAATGGAAAAAGAAAAGAATTTGCTCAAATGCAGCACATTTTTCACAGTGACTCTGCTCGGTTTATCACGCTCTCACAGGTGCACAACATGCCATTCAAGACATGGGTGGCAAAAAAGACATGGGTGAAGTTTCCAACATATCAAACAATGACAAACCAAATGCTACATAATTTTATTGTTCACCTAGCTTTAGTCACATTATTTGCACCTTTGCCATACCCTAAGTAGTACGACAAATCCATGTTTCAGCATATCATTTGCTCAGAACAGAAAATGCACATTCCTACATTGGTTATTTCCATTCTCTGTGAAAGATACCATAAGACAGAACAAACCTATCATACATCTGTAAAACTCTTCTCAGAAATAAGTAGATTATGTGCTTTGCGAGCCACCCTCATGCCTGTTATAGGTAATCTAAAATCCTTTTGGACCTTAGAAAGCACAAATGCTCCATTTAACTTCCTGGTGAATGCTTTTTTCACAAAATATATACATGAATTGCTTGACTTGTAATGATGTTTACATGATATTAAAGGGCGTACCCAGTGCAGAGAGCTCCCGCTCTGTGCGGGGTCTGGGGAAGGGTGTCAGTGGCAAGCCTTACCCTTGCCTGTGCAATGCGAGGAGACCACGACTCGAACCCGGGACCTTCCGGTCAGAGGCGGTAAGACTCTACCGCTTGCACCAGGCCCGCCCTTCGATGTTTACATGATATTCTGCTAATTTTTCCAGTGTTCTAAAAGCATGGCCACTAGGTGGGCAGCAGGATGGCACCCAGTAGAGACAATTGAAAAAGGGTCAGCCACTCAGCTACGAACTTAGACAAATTACAAGAAACAGTACAAGATGGTTTGCCCCCATATTCTACATATGGCTTACATTCTGATTGTTTATTATGTAAATCACTGGAACCAGGTCGACCTATATGCTTTCCTGGAGAAATGAATTTGCATCAAATAGCCACCACCAGCTAAGGTACACAAGTGGCAACTGGTAAGTGGTAACCTCAAATTGCAGCATCTCACTCCCCTATCTCCTCCATCATCCCCTACACTCATTAGCTATCTAGAGAGCATGCATCATGGCTATCAGAGAATTTCAATGGAATTACTTCTAGGTGCTATTTGATCCATTAGCATCTATGTGCACCTGTCGTGCATGCCTCGCTAATATAAGCATGTCAGCGCGTCATCCAAATGGAAACAAGCACACTCATCACAAGGAATTTAACCACAGATCATTTCAGTACAGACAGAAAATAGCAGAAAATTGAAAGAAACCATTCTAGCCAGCCCACTCCAATGAAGTAGCATCATATTCTGAAAGTGCATTTAGGGATGCAGAGGGGCACCCAACGGTGTTTTGGGGTTCAGCTAATTAACTACGTGGTATGCCATTTTAGTTCATTTCTTCCCCCTAAATTAATTAGGTGGCAGGCCGTTTTAGTTCATTCTAGCAAGTTTTGGGCCAACCCAATGACCGAAAATAAGTGGAACTTGCATCCCAAACTGCATTTCATTGCAATACTAGATCAAAGATTCAAGGGGCACTTCCAACAGAATCACAAGCATTGGCACTCACAAGTCACAATCTTGGAATTTTACAGCAAAATGAAGAGCAAAAGTACCCTATTAACGAACTGGCCTTCACATCCACATTCGAATTATGTGCCATACAGAATGGATAAGCTGTTCCTAGTTCCAAAGAAAAGAAGTCTCACTACCAAGAACCCCGTAAATATTGAGACGTTCGCCGCAGATCTAATATCTAGGATAGACCAAGCGTCAGCTCAAATCATCAAGACCATGTACGGTAAGGAGAAGTCGCTCTGGGTGATAGGGATACGCATGTATACCTCGAGCTCGGCGGACTTCATGGCGATGGGGATGCAGATGAGGAAGATGCCGAACATGGCGATGGCGGTGTTACGGCGCCAGTGGACGGGGCGGCAGTAGGGCCCGCCCGTCATGCTCCATACCTTCTGGCGGAAGTCGCCGCCGGCGTGCCCACCGCCATGGTCGCCGCCCATCACCGCCGCCGCCTTCGGTTCAGTCAGATCGGGGGTGAGGTTCGGTGTGGGGGTGAGCGCAGAGCAGTGATTCGTGCGGACGGGCCGACGTCTCGATGGGGAATTGGTTGTGCACGGGGTGTTTGCACATGAGACCCTGCTGATTTAAGTAATTATGTTCCAACACTACAGTTTGGGAAATTTTGAAGTTCTACTACGTACTTGTGTGTAAAGGGAACTCAGTTTTCTTTGAAATTTGGTAAATTATCTGGTTTCAAATGTGAAATAAAGTAATCAACTGCATCCAGCACATTTCGTATTTCTAAAATGAAGCTTCAACTTTCAAATTGTTACGATTTGAAACATGATCAACATAGGTCTTAAGTCTTTAACACTTGACGTGAATCCAATAAACAAAACAAAATTGTTATGATTTGGATCTATATTAAACGTGAATGAAAACATGTTTCCCAGCGAAAGCCAAGGATTATACAGAAGGTACTGATCAGTGTATGATGTTATCCCAGAAAAATGCAGTTTTGCATGTCGAGCCTATAATATTCAGGACATCGCATTCGACACATCAAGTACTCAACTTAAGCATTGCAGCTTTTAGAAAAAAAAAATATAAAAATTGCACTGGTCGCATGAATTATCAACATCAACAAACTGTTTGGTCGCATGTTAGATTATCAACATCAACAAAGTAAAAGATGTTCCTCGGTTAAAATGATAATAAATATGATTTTTTTGGGTGCGAGAAAGTAGAGAGAAAACAAACCTCAAGTAAATTTGAATAATGTAACACAAGTAAGATTTAACTAGTCCAAACTAGCTCTAACCCATAGATCTAAACAGAGCCAAAGTAGTTCCTCGGTTAGAGCTACTTTTTTTGGGTAACAAAACAGTAAATTTGAATATGTAACACAAGAGATTTGACCCGACCCAAGTAAACCAGGTACGATGAGACTAACCACCGTGGTTCCTACTCCTGTGAGACCTAACAAGCTCTTTGCCTCTTCCAGAATTACATGTGTAAAATACAATAGTACAAAACATAAGTATGCAATCTGTTATTATCCCATACTAGAACCTAGGATCACTTGTCGGGATTCTTGCAGCTCCCTGCATAAGATTTGTACGCCGTTTCCAGTAATATACAAACGGGCCACTTACTAGCAACATCCCAGCCATCATTACCTGGAAAAGAACATAACTATATGATTCGTGCTTTAAGAAATAAAGATAAATTTGCTTGGATTCTCATTGACAAATGAAGATTAAAAAGTAAACAAGCCATCAACAGGATGTTACATTTTTAGTGCAGAAGAACGAGCAAGATTGTGCTACAACTACAAAGGTAGGTGCAACACATGCTTTGCACTTTTACAGTACACAACTACACAGGCTCGCCTTTCACTCGGATGCTTCAATTTCACAAGTATTTGGAATTTAACAGCATGCTCAAAACAAAAAGGTCTAGATATCTACTATCGCAGCTGCAAAGAAAAGGTAAGGTCTGGTTGCATGTTTAAGGGCAAGATTCAGAGCCCAGTTTTGCAAGTTTATCAAACTAGCCGAGAAATGCTTCTCAATTTACTAAGATTTTTCCTCAGTTTTCTTCCACTGTTATTTCTTACTATCAGTTCTTTGGTCTCAGTCCATGTCCAGCCTGCTCGGCACTGATGGCGGCGGCTGCGGCTGCAGCTGCATTTACCGCAGCCATCATTACATTAACATTAGGAAAAACAACATTATAGAGTAAATAAAGAATTCGATAGAAGTCCAACAATATCTATAATAATAGAAGAGAAAAGTTTTGCAATTTTAATACCTCAAAACTAAGAACAGATAACTTCTCTTCTCCAACCAATGGCACACAGCTTCTGTAGGTAATATAATGCTTTGGACCACCTGATGTGAATTTTGTGCCACCTGATGTGGATGCATCATCCAATATCTTCCTCTGCTTGCTCTCGTTTCCTTCTTTTGTAACATTTTGTGCCTCTACACATTTCAAGGGCAGGCGATATCCAGTTTCGCTGCAGCTATACTTTTCATCATTCTGAAAAATGATATGTTATTGTCAGTCCGGTAGAACCTGTACAATGGGAAACAAATATGCAAGCATGAAATTTTATTAGTTAACACTTAAACCGGTTTTAGGGGCTAATACCAGTTTAAAATACAGGTCCAGCAATTTTTACAGGGCACACTAAAAAACATGTTTGAATGAGTTATAAATCTAATAATTTTTACAGGGCGGGCCTAGTGCAAGCGGTAGAGTCTTACCGCCTGTGACCGGAAGGTCCCGGGTTCGAGTCGCGGTCTCCTCGCATTGCACAGGCGAGGGTAAGGCTTGCCACTGACACCCTTCCCCAGACCCCGCACAGAGCGGGAGCTCTCTGCACTGGGTACGCCCTTTATGATTGCAAGTCCAAGTGGCACTATGGCGAGCCTGCGTCAGCTAGCAAGGGCGTCGAGCAACAAGTCTGCGCAGTTGTGAGTTCGTCTCGAGGTAATGATCCCACACATTGGTGGCCTTCAGTTCACAACCATTCCTCAACAGATCTGCCAGTGCCACTGCAAGCTCCCAAAGCCTCTGATCTCCATTGTTTCCCCGCCACTTCATTTAGCTTCTTTGTTTTTATTTTGTTTTTCCCTGCTTTGCAGGATCAGGTTGAGAAGGGCAAGAATTCTATCACTTATCCAAACAACTCTTTTACAAGGGCACGGGTTCTTGTGCACTAGTTACACCTGGAAGACATTTGCATGTTTAGAAGATTATAAATCTACCAAACAGTGCCTAAATGGTGTTACATGGTTGTAAACTGTAATCTGAACGCAGGCTTCATACATGTACTTGTCAACGCAATTAAGTAGATACAAAAAAGCACCAGCTAAAAGTAGATAGACCTGCAATGTTCGCTAGTGGGCCAACAGCCAAGCAAAGACGTTGTGACTGTTTGCCACATGTATTTGCACATACTATCATCCAACTTAAATTTCCAAGTATGTTCACACATGCATATATGGATAAGCCCGAACGTTTGTACTGCTTACTGACCACGGAAAATTCATGTTACCTCAATTCTGAGCAAATCATGGTCTATCAAAAAATAATAGACCAATTTATTCAGTAGGTTGCCATTTTTTCCAAACAGATAGTGTGAAAAATTAGCGTAACTATAAGCCTATTTTCTGAAAATATATTATGGACCATTTTAAGGTCATATTTTTTCAACGACAAGCAATTCTGAAACTTGAACCAAGGATCCATGAAAGAATTGATAAGTTCTATAAGATTACCTTGTCTGAAGCTGTAATATCTTTATGGGTAAATCAAACAACTTCCACAGGGAGATTATTTTAGCAATCAAAGAAACGCAATGTATGAGGGGTAGCACTCAAGTAACCCTATTAACTTTGAAACAGTTTGTATTCTATGAGGCCAAGAAAGAGGCAGCATAAAAACTAAGGTTCAACCATCAGTTCCAATGGAGAAACTTTGCATTCTATGCACAAAGAAACCTTTGGAGCAACTTGAAGCATAGAAATTCTCTACTTGCTACAAATGACCTTCACACTTTCAAAAACATACTAAGTACTATATCGCACATTTTGACATAAATGTTGTAGCATAAACCAGAAAATCAGGATATGAAGGTACCAGACAATGTGATTGACAAATCAATGAAATACAAAGGCTCCTAATTCATGGACCAAGAACTACATTTTGCGATGTCATGAAGACCGTTATACTAGCTTCAAAGACCAGTGGTGTAATAATTTTACTAATGAAGCATAACTAGCTATAACATATTATCCTCATTCACGTATCACTCCCTGAAGAGAAGTTGTCCATTATCAAGTCAACTAAATCCACTAACCACTTAGCCTAGCTGCCATTTTTTTTTAACGCAATGGGAGGAGCTCTGCCTTTCAATTAAGTAAGAATGAAAGAGAGTTTATGTACAAGCAAAAGAGAAGCACACTCCATAGTGGAGCAAACAGGGAAGCACTCTCCACTAGGGGAGGCAGCGGCTATGCATAAGCGAAAGCTCTCTTTCTCTCCTCTGTATCTTCCTTAATTCTTGCAGCCACTTGTAGTACTGTTTCAGTTGCGTTGTTGATAATTCTCCTGTTTCTCTTTAAAAATATTCCAGAATGTGTAGATTATCACGCCGTTCAGCCTTCTACGTTCAGAGTTAGGCACTCTGTTCACCGCCTCCTCCCACAATGTCATGATGTGGACAGGGGCAGCTTGGAGGTGTGACTGCAGCTCAGTGAAGTTCTCCCAAGAGAGGATTTGGTCCCAAACCGCCTTTGCAAAGGGACAACACAAACAAAGGTGAGGCCGGTTTCTAAGGGTCCATTGCGAAGCACGCAGTGTTCTTGGTGTGGCCACCCTCTCTTTTTGTAGGTTGTGTGCCTTAAGAATTTTGTCCTGCACTAGAATCCAGGGATCTTACATTTGTTCACCACTTGTGCTCTCCAAAGCCATTGTGTAAATCTTTCATTGACTAAACATCACCAGATAATTCTTATTGCTCCGTGCTACCTTAATTTTGGTTCATCTTCATGAATGGTACCTCAATCAATATATCAATCATATCAAAACAATGAACATGGATAGGGTGAGATTCTCTGCAATTAAATTGTACCCAAACTTGAACCTGATTTTAACCACTGCCACGAAGCAAATTTACTAGGTATGAATCGAGGTAACAGAAGATAGAACATTCGCAGCAAACAGGGCTCGTATTTTGCAGTAAACTTTAACCAAGATCTGAACTTTTCATGATAAACTTTCACTGCTCTAACCCAGTAACACGAATCACATAAGCTACATCTGAAAAGCAGAAAATAAGGAAATCACGCCATCCCCAGGTCCTATTAGAAAGATGCAACCTAACACGATCTTCTTATGTCACCTACCAAGATCGA